TACAGTCTTGTTAAGAGATAAATTATATCCAACATAGCACAATACCCTATGAGAAGTTAGGAAATCATTCTCAATGTTTCAATCAATACAGCAACATGTTAATAGGCAGCTTGCCTTTCTGGCCAGAAGCCATTATATGTGCTAGAAGTCAGGTTGTATTGAGTAATGAGAAGTTATTAGTATTTCCAAGGAGTGTTTGACATATATGCTTGCATTCTTATGAGAATTATAAAGAAAAGATTCAACAAGGATTCATAACACAAATTGATTTCACAGGTTAAAAAGTTACTGCTTTAAACTTTCATACAAGTACATGTAGGTGGTACTTATTCCATCTTTCAATAAATGTTCAATAAATGTGTAGGCATAAGTGTGCAAAGAGAACCTTGTTAATACTATTCCCCAGAGAAAGCAAGAGAACACCGTCATCTAGTGGCAAAATTATCATATCATAATGAAAACCTGATCTCTTTGGAAGATGTTTGTTTTTTTACCCAGTGGGGCTCATTTGTGATTGATAAGAGTTTCAATACAGCAATTAATCCAGCACTAGCTGCCTCTAGAACAGATAAAACAAAAACTGAAACTGGCCCCTTAATTTATTGTGTGTTTATTGCAACATTTTACTAACACCTAATTGGCATACCCAGCTTTTTGTGCTTCCTGTTTTTTTGTGTGTTTTGGCCAATTGCATGCAATATCTGCTGTGGCGTCTTTATGCATCATCTTCCTTGTATGTGCTTTCTGCTTGTTTTGTGTTGTGCTGTCTAACTTAGCTTTCTGAGCATGCATTAGCATATGAAACAAAAATGATGTGCTTAATAAAGAAATAAGCTAACTTGTCCTCACAGGCCCTGTGGCGCTTACTGTAATTTCTGTAAGCAGTGGGATCCTTGCTCTCCGTAGTCTCCATATAAAGCATGGTGTGGCCTGCATCTTCCTATGTAGCCTGGCTGGAGTGAATGGGGCCGGTTGTTATGATCAAAAAATCCAGCAAAAACACACTAAAGTGCATGCACATGCATTTTTCATGCACTACCATAGAACTCACACAGCAGCGCAACACATACAGTAGGTGTGAATAGACCCCCATAGAGAAGAATTTGATTCCTCCTCATGTGCATATCAAACAGGCACAAATGCACATAGGTTTTAGTGCACCACAGTACAAAATGTTGCACTACCATGCTTTGTGGTGTACTACCTTTTAAAAAGTGCGTTCGAATGAATACACTGCCCTACACAATGCACAGGCAAGTAAGCGCACATTAACAAGCTTTGTGTGAACATGCAATAAATGTGTGAACCTATCCTTAAGAGATGTAAAAGAAAAAACATGTACAGCTGCTGAATAAAAAACAAAGGCTTATTACAACTTCATATATCTAAGATTAAGTTATAAGCTATAAAATGGTTTATAAAGAAATAATAATCTGCACCAATATATAGTGTGGAAGCTCCCAAGCACTAAAAATACACCAACATAAGTGCATGTATTAACTCCATGTGGTAATACATGCAGACAGCTGCAGAGACTTTCAGCTTGTCATTAATTTGTAGGGTTGAGCAGCCACAGGTATGTAGAAACACCTGGCCATATCAGTCACAGAAATATGCTAATCTGGGTGGTGTATGGTCATGGTCGGTGAGTCCAATTGAGCTCCAGATAGAAGAAAAATATACACTGGGGGCTCTAGACAGTTTCTACTTTATCCAAAACTAAGAAAACCAGCTGGATATATACCTTTAAGGAAACCTGAGAAATATGCAGGCTGCAAGTGCCAACTTTCCTCAATGCTCTGACTGCAAGATCTTAATTGTCAATGACCTGAAAGAAGCATGCAGATTAGGAGTACTAACCTCTTATTATACAGTATACTTGTTTCAGGTCAATGGGGTTGATTTATAGGCAAAGAGGCTGTTAATTTTGCAAATCAATTTTCACTTTGCTTAGTGAATGTAGTAAACAATCACTTTGCAAAGAATGTCCAATCATGCACAAGGAAAAAAACAAAACAGTTTTTGGAAGTCAGCAGATATTCACCTTATCCACTAAGCTAAGGGAATTTCTCATGCAATGTAAACAGCCTATTAACTCAGAAAGCAAGATGTAATAGTCCTGATTTTTTTTCTCCCATACTTTCTACATTCAGTCTGTTTGACTGCCATTGTCTTGAGTCCTACATAGTTGAATATTTAGTGAGGCTGAAAAAAGACACATGGCCATCAATATCAATCCTTGTGTTACCTTAGCCTCTCCTTATGGCAAAACAATTGTGGTGCTATACGTTAAAATATATAGGTCGCACTTAACATGCTAGTGTAGCGTCCCCCTTACTCAGTCAGCGATATTCCAGCTCAAGATAACACTGGCTCTTAAGGGGTGGCTCTTAAGGGGTGATCTACAGTGAATGAACTAACAGGTCTCCCTGTCTTTCCTCTGTAAGAAACCTCTATGATGGATCCACAGCACACCTTGAGTACTTGGGTCGGTTGTTAGGCATCTCCGAATTCTTCTTGTCTAGGGATAATATTACTCGCTTTGCCCATCAGCACTTACTACCCTCTTGAGTAATCCATTGAAGTGAGGTGCAGACTGTTGATATAATGCTTGAAACCTTTATTGCTGAACTTCAGGGAGAAGGGTAGAGGGTTGAGATCATCCAGGCAGATGTAGACTCCATAGCACTCCAGAGTGTGGTTACTGTCTCCATGCACAGCAGGTAGAACACCTTGCACAACACTACTTGAGGTAGAAGTTACTGGTTCTTGATTTCAGTAGCAACCACTGGCCCTGCTGCTATCAGGCTCCAATGTCATCACACGGCTAGTCCCCAGGCTTCAGGCCTAGCCATCTCAGACAATCCATTGCAGCCTCCCCACAGTCAGGGCCCGGGGGAGGAAGAGAGAGCTCACATGGTCCACCCCAAATATGTATCTGCTCCCCCAGCATGCTCCACTGGCCATTGTCTAACAGTGATTGGCTAGAGAGAGATATGTACTCATAGCAGGCTCCCATTGGTCGCTCTGTTCTGTAACCATGGTACACCTGGCAGCACACAAATGCAAACAATGACAGACTGTTTAGGGAAAACTAAATTATCCCAGACTACAAATCAGTATCAGGCCACATACAATCTGATATTACTAAATTTAATAGCACTCTTTCCATTAGGGTGCTACACTACTTTATAAAATACTTTATAAAGTACTTTTATATACGTTTTTCTATTTGTGACCATCAGTTAAGGTACCATTGTTCCTCACCTAATTGCTGGTGAGACATTTTTTTTTTAGAATTCTTTTTTAAAATTAATCCCACAGTTCCTAAAATACAAATAGTGAAAAGCCAAACTTGAAGTTGTTTTAAATGTTTTGGGTTGAAATCCATTCATCCATGCTAATTCATATTTGTACAGTTTCCAACCATAAAAATAGAATTTTATGTTAATAATGTCAAATTCACTTTAACATGACTACCCATATAAGAACAGATGCCTGGTGAAATCTAATGAGTTTACGGAAAAACAAAGATGATGCCATAATCAGAAGTATTATTTGATGTCTTCTAATTATAAACTTAATAACTTTAGTGGTTTACTCAATTGGCCAACCTTTAATTGGACGTAACAGTAATTAATGGCCCTTTAATAGTTATGGGATTGAAGGTAAAAGCTTTTCCAAGTTCTTAGCTGGCAACTGTGTGTCTTTGGCTGCCCTTAAAATTGACTTAGTTTTCATTTTCAAGTGTTGCCATTTGATGGATGTTTTCTGCAATGCTGTTCCACATTTTAGTGAAAGGTTTAATCAAAACACTAAAGTACATTTTGTTAGAAAGTATTTTAATATATGTACTCTTTTTTTAGTGTAGAAATACTGCAATTATCTTGGTTCTATCTGCTTTAAAACACGTTTAGTTTATTATGTCACCACTTATTTCAACTTAAATACTTAATCGCAGTCTGTATTTTGTGGGCACTTGCTAATTCAGTGTTATGGAAAGGGATGTGAAAAGTTTAACTCTTGTCTTTGTCAGTTCCCTATACAGTACAAGGCTATTTTGTGGTCTGGGAACAGTGGGTTAACTGCACTGCAGTATCAAGGAGAAATTAAACATTTATAAACTGTCCATACTCATAACTGCTTCTGCAAGATCTTATTACCTTATAAGCAGTACTTAAGATACACATGCAACACTTACCTGTATTGCTGGTTCCTGTCTACAGTCGGAAGCTTTGTATTAATTTCAAGTATCATGTACCCCAATACTGATTATCTGGTGTTAAAATGAGGTAACATTAATGGTATTTTAATGCTGTTCATTTCAAACGTCAGTAATGCAGAGCCCAATAGAATAAAGTAAAAACTAAAAAAAAGAAAAAGCTTTGTATTTAGATATTTATTTGGACTTTATTGGACTAGTTCTATGTCATGTCCTTTTGGAATGTAAATGCTGTATTCTTTATTTTTCAGTACTTTGGGGTTAAGTTGATTTTCTCGGTTGACAATGATAGCATTTCCAATAACTATAGATAGCTGTCAAGGTAGCTTTTGCATCTGTTACAGGTACAACTTTGTTTTTAAACTGTATTTTCATTTGGAACAGCGGTAATGAATGTTTTGAGTAGCAGGTTTCCAGGCATGATATTTAATATCCTTACAGTCTAAGTATAAAATTAACTTATACATTGCTCATTAAGCATGTATTCTTGCAAGCCCTGTCAAGTTTAGCCATAACTTTACAACATCACAGATCACTAGATGGTTTTTGGGAGCTCCATTATTGATTCTAAGATTTGAAGTGACTGATTAATTGAGTTGGAAGAAGAGACTGCAGCAGGACTGAGATCTCCTTCATAGGTAGTAAATCACTACATCTCCTCACAGATTATCATTTTAATTATAGAGTTAGCTTGTAAGACCCTTTAGTTTGTGGTGATACTGATTCTATTTATGCTCTTTCAGTAATTCAATCCAGACCCTTTCTTGCTCTGTTTTAGGTTGTGGATGCTATCCTCCCACCTTTAGTCTCCTTGGTGTGCAGCCAAAATGGTAAGCTAGGCCACATCAAGTACGTCTCCATGCAGTTTCAACATTTTGTTTCAATTACACAGCTGTATGGTAACATTCTTGGCTTTTCTTTTTTTCTAGTGGAATGGAGACTTTTCAGTTTGCGGCTGCTTGCAGAAACCACATCACTACTTGTTAACCATGAAGCTGTGGCTGAGGGGAGAAAGGAAGGCCTCCAGTCAAACAGCACATTTATGTCTCTGGTCAGAAACTCATTACTTCCACAGTAAGTTTTCCAACTGAGCCAAAATGTTGTCAAAATGCTGTTCTATTAACCCTTTCTACTTGTATATCTGTATATTATTGGTATCTGTTTATCTTCATATTTCCTACAATCCTGTTAGTATGAGGCCCACTTTCTACAGTATTGGCATTTTCAAAGTCTACAGGTTATTAATGTGTAGGTCAAGCCAAGAAATTATTTTTGGATAGAATGGGGAAAGATTGGAACCTCTTTTGCATTTTTTACTGCTGTCCAGGGCTCTGTTTTCAATCACTTCCTGTCACTTCCTGTGCTGATGACAACAGTTTCACCAAGAAGGAAGTGAGAGCAAATCTTCTACAGGGACACACAAACAGCAATAAAAAGCTAATGGGTTCTAACCTTCCTCTACTCTACTTATAGTGTTGTTGGAGAATTTGCCTCTCCTCCTGTCTGGTAAATTATTACTAACAGGACAGGAAGTGATTGTAAATATAGCCCTGGATATGGCTGAAAACCTGACCAGGGTTTTAACCTTTCCCCATGCTGTCCAAAACTAAGAAAAATAGTTTTGGCAGGACATAGATGTTACCTATTGTATGAGACTACCTGCTGTGTCAAATGCAAAATCGAGTGGTAGGACCTCCTGCACTGTCTTTACATGGGCTTAAGACTACACTAAAACAATAATAATGTGGTGGGGTGACACACTGGGAACAAATAATTAGGTTGTCTTTTTATATCTAGGTTTCACTTAGCATTGTGTTTTGATGTTCAGCTAAATTAACCTTCAAATTACATTAAGGTACTTTCATATTGTTACTGGAATTGTTTTTTTTTTTCGTTTTTTTTTTTATCATATAAATTTTTATTGGTTTCATCACAGAAGACAATCGACAGTACAGAACATCACAGTATTCGGTGCGCAGTCCGTAGCATCGACAAGAGAACATGTGTTAGCAGACGTCAATCATGGGTTATAGATCTGATAATGGGTGATTATAGATCGAATTCTATTGCTTCGACCGGATAGCTAATGTGGGTACACAGTGGACCATGAGAAAAATGAGAACATACATATTCCATATATATACTGCATTTGTTCATATGGTATGGCAACCTGGTGAGATATCAGATAGATGGAAGAGTCAGCCAGTATGTTCTCTCTGAGGAATGCAGAGCAGGAGATGCTCGGGTCTCACTTCCAGATAGCCGTGGGAGAACCAAGATCTATATCATGCCAGAGGATAAGAATCTCAAGGCTGTGGCCAGCTTTGTCTGTAGCTAGCCAGTTAGATTCTCAGGTAACGGCACTACCGAACACAGACAAGACAACACAAGGTGGAGGGGACACACAACTGGAAGAGAGGATCAGAGGGTGGGTGGAGGGTCAGGTGCTAGAGAGGGGGGGTGAAAAGAGGAAGAAAAAGTGGGTCTGTCTGTACACAAGCGCGAGGGGAGCGTGTATAAGAGCGGGGCAGTAGATTAGTTTAAATAGAGCATAAGCGTCGAGGGGTGCCCGGGGCCAAAAATTTGTCTATCCACGGGGACCAGGTATTTTCAAATTTGATCATTTTATCTTCAATTTGTGCAGTCCGTTTTTCAAGAGTCATAACCCAATTGACATGAGTTATAACACTGGCGAGGCTTAGTGAAGACGTTAGCCAGTTCTTCGCTATTTCTCTTTTGGCTGAGGTGCAGATATGCATGGCAAGTTTAAACTGAGTGCGGGAGAGACCCTCTGGCCTGCAGTTGAGGAGTGCAAAATAGGGGTCCCTGAGTAACGGCACCGAGAAAAGCGATGATAGGGTATTGAAGATTAGTTCCCGGAGGTCTGAGGCTTGTGGGCAGGTCCACCAGATGTGCCTCGATCGGGACAACCCCTAAAGCAGTTAGGGGAGCAATCGGGGTTAAAGATAGCCTTCTTGTTAGGGAGTTGAGGCCCTGTACATTAAGGCTTAGTATTTTAAGAGACATAATGGAGTAGGTGCAGGTTATGTTCATGGTACTCACCCAGCCTAGACGCCCGAGGGGCCTTAGTTCTTGTCGGTGTCACCCGCGCGCTGCTTATTCTAAGGCTTGACATCAGGACCCAAGAGGAGAGAAAATGAGGAGAAGAGATGGGAAAACAAGGGGGGAGGGGATACACAAGACAAGATACACTAAACATCAAAACATACACAAAAACCAGCAATGGAAAAAATCCACAACATGCTCGGAACATTGGGTGGAAGAAACCGAAATGGTAAAAATGTAGTTTGACCAGGATGTCTCGAGGGGGTCCCTCGGGGCGCCTGCGGTTCAGCGTCTGGTGGGTCCGCTCTATTTCCAGTCGCTCCAGAGGGATGTCGGGGGCCAATTCTTGGAAGAGCGCTGTTACCGTGGAGTGCAGGTCCACTATGTGTTCAGGGAGCCCGCGAATGCGGAGATTAGAGCGCCGGGACCTGTTTTCTAAGTCCTCAAGTTTGGAAATTAGTTGCGAGTTTTCCTCACGGAGTGATTCCATATCTCCAGCAACTACAGACAGGTCTGTCTTTAGGTCGTCACACCTGTCCTCCAATGCAGCGGTGCGGTGGCCTATGTCTCTTATTTCTTTAAGGAGCTTGTCAGTAATTTGTTTTGAGGTAGATTGAAGCGCTTTCTGAAGCATGGTATCAAAGCGCTGTAAGAGAGCTGTTTGGGATCTTTTGCGGGAGCGGTCTCCTTCGTGGCTATCAAGATCCCCCTCATCCATATCAATACTGGACACTGGGGCTGTGCGGGCCGTTACCTCATGTGTGTGGGCCGCGGGCACCATCTTGGCCGAGGCTCGTGCCATCGCTTCTTGTATGGGCTGTTGTTTCCCCTTCTGTGGGAGCTTGGGTGTTGTGGACGACATGATCCAATGCCGGGAGTGTTCCGGTTGCCGATAGAGGTAGAATGACGGGCGAGTGGGGTGAACTCCTGCGCTATTAGCTGGATTGCCTGGGTGAGCTGCGGAGCCGTCTCAGAAGGCTTCCTTCATCAGCAGCTGCGCGCATGCGCCCCCCCCTTTTTTTTTCTTTTTTAATGTTAAGGTCTTCCAGTGCTGGCCAGACACTGGAAAAGTCTCTAGTAGCAAGATCAGCACACTGAATTCCTGCCTGTGTTTCCAGTATCTGGACATTTATTGTCTCATGCGATCACTGAGCAAGCCAAGTAACTGCACAGACTCTGCCAGATACTTCTTTTGTTTCAATAAAGAATATAACATCAGGCGCTTACTTATTTTCTCAACCTAAAATTTAAGAAATAATGATGCAGTGGATGAATGTAGGCAAGAAGAATGGCAGGACAGACTTTTATTGAGTTGAACCATTTGGGTGGGCCTATTCTTTAAATTGTCTCACAGGGGTGCTCCCGGTGACTGCAGAACCTGTCACTGTGTCTAAAGTATATGTGGTTTTAAATGTGTCCCTCAGTAGTATAAAATAATAATTTCCTTTTCCCTCTATTCCTTTCAAGCTAATACTTTTTTCTTTTCCATTTGGATAGAGCAGGGAAGGGTTATAACCTTTCTTAGGATGCCTGTGTGCCCATTGCTGAAGTTTTCTCTAATGTCCTGAAAAGTCCAAGTGTCCAACACTATAAGAACCTTGACTGCTAAATCTATCAGTGATCAGAATCTCTTCTCACCACTACACTGCCTTCAATAAAGAAAGTGTTTTATTGAATCACTATGCAATCACTAACAATCCAACATTTCTTGGCCACTGAGGACCATTTTCTTAAGGCAGTGTGTCAACAATTACTTTACACGACAAGGAATATTTTTAGTAACCCCGATCAATAAAAAAACAGCCCCAGAGTGGTTTGTGGCATCACAATGATGTTACATTCTCCCCATAATTCAGTTTCGATCTTTCAGCTTGCCTGCATCTACACGAATAGCGCAGCTTGCTGTATCCAAGTGTCTGTCTGTCACCTGAATAATGGTTTTTCAAAGTCATAGTAATTCAATGAAACATTTCCCCACACTTCCTGTTGCATTGACAGGTGGTGATAGAGTCAGCAAGCGATTAGAAATATCTCCAATGGTGATGGAGAAAGCTATTTTTTAGAGTAGAGTGGGGAAAAGTTAGAATCTCTCTAAAGCTTTTTCTTAATCGTTCATTACGGAGCACAGGGTCAAAAGGATTCAGAGATGTATAGTTATTTTGCTGGAGAATTGGCCACTGGAAAATAAAGTTGTTAGTCAGCCAGAATGTAACCCTTTCTACTCCCATCAAGCTTCAGTTGTTTGCTAGTGTCTTTAGGAGAATGGACGTCTTCTCTCCTCAGATATAGTTTAATATTACTTCATTTGTATCCAGATATTTTTTTTTATAGTCAAGATTCTTAATTTACCACAGAGCCATAAGAGCATTAACTACTGTGTCTGCTTGCTGCAGTTACCACTACGTTTTACTTTTTTGGGAGTCTGGCATCTGATAATATTCCTGTTACCATTTTGTTTGCTGTGTTTTCCACCCATCAGTTGGACTGCTTTTGGCATATGTCTCCGAATCCTCCTGACCCTGTGTGATTTAATAAACAGTTAAAGGAGAACTATGGGGTCAGGGCTTTTCCCCATAGTTCTCCTTAGGGTAACGGGAGGACACAAACTAGCGTCCTCCCGTTACCCTAAGCTCAGTATACCGAGAGCTACAGCTCGCGGTATACTGAGATGCCGGAGCGGATCCCGACATCGATGTTGAGATCCGCCCAGCTGAAGTCAATCTTCACTCGCAGATAGGAACAGCTGGGAGAGAGGGCAATGTAGTCGTGATGGGTGACTTAAATTATCCAGACATCAATTGGGCCAATGGAACTTCGGGTTCGGCGAAGGCGGGGTGATTTCTAAACATGTTGCGCGACAATTTCATGGACCAGATGGTGGAGACTCCTACCAGAAAAAATGCCATCTTAGATGTAATTGTCACTAACAATGCAGAGTTAATTCCATTAATCCTCATTTTTAAGGACTCCTTAATGACTGGTAGGATCCCCAGTGATTGGCGGAGGGC